GATGTATCCTTTCTGCATCGGGCAAGTCACGTGGACTTAAGACTTCATACAATATGCGAAAATAAACCAACAAACTAACAATATGCTATGTTTTAATAAGGAGAGCTACCATTAACTATATTCAAAAGACATGGCATGGCTCAGGTCCATGTCAATATCACCAGCAATTTTACATATTCTGTTAATCAGATTGTTGGAGATGAACACTTTCCCGAATTATTTTGCGAAAAAAAATCTCTAATATTTTCTAGAGTTAAATTGCGGTACTTTGAAATTCAATTTTTCAATTGATTTATTTAGCAAAATGGATCAATCAATTTTACTATGTTTAAACAAAAGATTTACATCTACGTACTCTCCATCATATGATTTTAGCACATGCATTCCCAATTTTGAGACAATCTTACTATATTCATACATCAGAAAAGGATTCTGCACAACCAATACACAAGCAGCAATTCTGAAGAACTTGTGATGCACAGTTTCAAGTCTAGAAGTGGCTTTCAAAAAGCATGGTGACCAAACAATTGACGAGAACGTGTCTCATTTCCAAATGATTCAGGGTATGAAGACTGTAAAGAGTTAGGGCCTTGACAAGTTCTTCTAATAAATTCAAGTGTCTGATTAGCTTTATTTACTGTATAATTCATACAGACCCCAAAAGATATGTTAAAATCAATATCAACATAATACCAAGATGGTACATAATGATAGTAACTTTTTTCCAGACATAATGTGAGGATTACGTAGTTCTCTTGATTGGTAACTTTGAACTATAAAAAGAAAGTTTTAGTAAGATTTAAGTAAGACGGTTATCCCCGACACTATTTGGCAAAACATTTAATGACTTGAAGCCTTACCTTATCTTGAGATGATTTAATAACTATAAACATCTTCGGATAATCAGCAAAAAGCAGGGGAACTCCTGAATATGCAGCAATTGTCTGAGATATAGCATTGTATGAGGTGTAATTAGTCCAAAAAGCTAGCCCAGACCAAAGAAATTAGAAAACTTAATTAGTACGAGAAAGTTTGTGCCACCTTTAGTTGCCCTTTTTGTCTTTGGTTATTTTGATTCTTGTGGTCAGACGAAAGTATTTTGTTTTCTTCGATTTATCAAAACACGACTTTTAGTACACAAGACATACCCTGAAAGTGCCATATATAGTAGTGCCTGTTTAAAAATATTATTTTGAATTTATAATGCTGAAATCTAGCAAAGAATGTAATTCTATTGTAAATATTCATTTTAATTAACATGACATAATTATGTACTTTTTTCCCAATAAAATAGGGATGTTAGCTTTTCCTGTCACTAGAATAATACAATAACATTTGCAATGGCCAGTGCGTGTATCTGAACTTTGTAACCAAGCTCTGAGTAGTAATAGAAATTTAGTGGCTTGAGTCACTGCATATTCCTGGTAGGGTGACTGTTTGGGAAACCTGGATTCTTAACTGCGCTGAGTGCCTGGCCAAAAGGTGTAAAGGGCAATAACACTGAATTGACTTCACGCAAGACTGACTTAATATGTTCAAGGAGAATTACTCCTTAAAAAAAAAGTGTGGAAGAATTACAATCAAACATGGAAAATAATGTACCCATTCATCCAGAATGTAAAGATTTACTGTACAGTGCCATTAAAAACTCTCGCTCAGTAGCCATACACTATTGGGGGCTCAGGAAAAACAAACTATTCATATTGTGGAGAAATTTTTAACAAAATCTGATGAAAGACCACCGTATTATCATAAATGTTTTTAACGGCAAGTGAAAGCAATTCAATAACCCAAGAGTTAAAATATATATTTGTGAATAAAAGTTTGTTGTAATGTTGTAGTGATGTTACATACCCCATTGTGATAAAAATAAATGTTGATATTCAGACAATCTTTCATGTGAATTAGGGCAGTAAATTAAAGTTCTTTAATCAAAATATTTACCTCTTAAAGAAATACTCAGTTTTAATTCTGGGATGATAAGGGTTAATGAAAAGGAGTGAAAAGTTGCTCTAATTGAAGTTTTCCAGACAATTAACAATACAAGATATGTTTTAAAAAGTCTTTCTCTATAATTCTTTAATTCAAAAATACAATACCATAGAAAATTCATTTTTAGCTCACAGGAACATTAAGTAGTGCTTGGTTAACAGCATTTTCAGCTGAAGAGCACAGTTGATAGAAATGGGAATTATTATTGCCGAGGAGATTCGAGGGGCTGTCAAATTCAACAACCTGCAAAAAGAAGTAACAGTATGAATGCAATGTTTTTAGAGGATGAATATTGCTATAAATACTTTTATAGAAATATAAACATTTTTTCTCTCCTTTGAAGTATTTTTGTATTGTTAACAAATATAAAAAATAATGAAGTGACAAGAAATGTGGAGAATCATGTACATCAGTTCTCCCTTTCTGACATTTCTAAATCAACACATGAGAGATTCTTACACAAGTTATTTGAACAGGTTTGCAGCCTCATGCTATGATACTCTAATTACAATTGTATTGATGATCCATTGATTTTACATATTATGTATGTATAATATATTAAAGAAAGTATCATAATTAATAAGTATAGACCATATGCATAAATAATCTATGAAATTTGCATGCATTTATTCAGTAGTCATGCACTGACTTTTTAATATTGGGCTTATGTGCCAGAATTGGAATAATACAAATGGATGTTGTTTTTGGTAAATGTAATGAGGATCGTCCTAAACTCTAATGGGAAAATCATGTTTAATTTTGCCTACTTCAACTACGTGAAAGTGATTAATCTGTATCTTAATGTGGTATTTCTATACAAAATATACAAGTACGCATGGGTAGTAACATGGTTGATACCTCTTACCAACAAAAGGATTTTTCACTCGTGTAAGAGTATATTGAGGATGAGTGTGCTATAAACAGTGAGACTGGTTTTAGGATTAAGTAGGCCAATAAGACCTATAAAGCCTGGGTTTTAAAAATTAAAAGAAAAAAAATAACTTTCAATCTAGCAACAGGCCAGTAAAGACAAAAGTTGGGTGGTTATTTTAAAGGAATTTTCAAAAAATCTTAATACCCAACTGAGGGGGTAGAAATAAATAAGAGAAAGGGAAAAGTTAAAGTCACAACATTGCCGAGGAATGAAAAAATATGTTTTTTTTAAAAACAGGTTATTGAGACTTTCCCAAAGCAAAACAGAAAAAGCTTAATTTTTTTGGGTAAAACTAAGTACTCAAAAAACAAAAACCTAAAAAAGGCAAAGCAAAAAATTATGAAATAATGAAGGTTCTTTTTGAAGGCTGTGAAATACAAAGAGAAAAAGAAATATCCTAAAGAAGGTTAAAAAAAAGAAACAAATAAATACTACTGTATCAACCCCTTGTTAAAATAATCTTTACATGCCAAGGGCTGGCAGCAAGAAAGATACACAAGCTGGAAATCAGGAAAAAAATGTCAGCTTTATGGTGTAATAAAATTAATGCCAAACAATTTGGGAAGTAAAAGCAATGTAAAAGATGTTTAGCAAATTTATTTAAAGTGGGTTTTTAAAACATCACCCATTCCCTCCTCCATTCGTTTTTTAAATGTTCCATGGACAAAACCTGGTTAACGCAAACCCACTTGGAAAAAAGGGAAATTAGAAAAAGAAATAAAAACATGAGAAACACTGGGGAAAGATGTCTTTTTTAAGGAAAAATAATAAACCTTCACAGATTTTTGCCATGGCCAATTAAAAAGCCCAAACAATAGTCCTTGGTATTTGATTCTTGTTTTTTGTATCAAATTTATGCCCCCTCAGAACACTTTCCCCTTATTCTTTTCTCAAATATAATGTTTTGGAAAGAAAA